GGAGTACCCTCTGGCCCAAACTGGGCGCCCAGTTGGGTCTTATGTGACAATACCAGACCAAGTCCCTGGGCCCCAGAAACTAACAAACACAGGATTTTCTAATGGATCCCTATGAGGAGGGGAAGTCCTGAGCCCCAGTGTCAGGAAGTGTGGCTGGATAGGCGTGCAAGGTGGTGGAAGGAGTGGATATATTGGCATAATGGTCAGAGCAGCTAAGACAGCTTGCTTGGCTGGAGGAGTCAAGGTTTGCAGCAACATATTCTCGCTCTCATTCCCTTCCTTTTTTCATTTTTCCTGATGTAATAGCACAAATGCTTACACATAAAGGATTTCATTATACTTCCCTGCTTTCTCACAGAATAGCCACCATAAAATCATAAATGCAATTGATCATTTCTAACCATCAAAAGGATGCCTTTTTGCTTTGGCATCAACCAACCAGGCTGAATTCTGGGATGGGGCTTTTGGTGATTTTAGGAACCAAGTGGAACCCTTCTCTTCTCTCTGGGAAAGTCCCACAGACTTCTTTTTTTTTTTCCTGTTGTTCCTTTCCTCCATTTGACATCAGTAAAAGCTCTATCGCAAAATTGATTTGGTTGTAAATGGAGAAACAGTACCAAACAAAATGAAATGAAAAACCCAAGGGACAACAGAAAATCCTAAATAAATCCTCAAGTTTGGTCTTGGGATTTTACATATACCAACGATACAGGAGACCACAAATGATATAATTAACACAGCAAGGGTAGCAGTACATGGTGCACAGGGTCCCAAGATAACCGTGCCTAAACCCCTTCTGGAGATCCTAACGGGTACTGAGGCCACACATTGTTTCAATAAAATATATTCGTCCCACTCATGGGTTCTTGGCTGTAATCTGATCATTTATCAAAACGTGCCTCAGAGGACTTTCTTTAGGGATAGTCGAAACATTTCCCCATTTTTAAATACAGAAATGCAAGACAAACAAAACACAAATGGCACACACAAGGGCTAGCATCCAAAGAAACAAACGAACCGGTTCACAAATTAGGTAAAAGTTCAACAACTCTTTCCTCTCTCCAACAAGGTACCCCCACTCAAATACAAAACAAATTGGCTTATTCCAGACAAACCCCCCCAAATATAGAGGGAATAAAGTTTCCCGCTGTACACACTGGAGTGACTTACCCTACAGTATAGAGCCCATTAGCTCCCAAACGTGGATTCCTTGCTCCGCCTGCCAAGTGCTGGGGCAGTCGGTGCTGCTTTGGGGAATTTTGAAGGGCAGATCCTCAGGACGAGTGGTCCTGGCAGCTGCTAGGGCCTTACCCGAGAATTCCTCAACCAGGGTCAGCTGGCCACGAGCAGCGAGGCTTGCTCACCAAGTCGAAGCCCCTACTGCTCACTGCCACAAGCAGCTAAATCAAGAGATGAGTTGTTGGGGGCAAGGAATAGCTACTTTACTTGGAAAGCCAGCTGACCAAGAAGATGGTGGACTTCTGTTCCAAAGAACTATCTTGCCTGAGTTAGAATTCAGCTTCTTTTATACCAAAAGGGGAGGGAGTAAAGTCAAACATTTCTTGGTTCTGGTCAGCCTCCAGAAGGGATGTGTCAATGTCTTCCTTCCTGCACAGGTGGGCCTGGTCAGGATGTTTCCTGTGAGCTAATAAAGGTATTTTATCTTAATGCTCATTACCTGGGAGGCAGGGTTCCCAGAGACGGGCCATTATGTGTAATTTAAGATTATAGGCAACATCCCTTTAGTGGTTAAGTTGTAACAGAACACAAAGGTTCTTCCCTATTACGTAATCACCCAGAGTAAAGTAGCCCTTCACTCTCAAGTCATTGCCACGACCGGTTGTCCCCGGCCCCACTCTCATAACCATATTAGATTATTTTCTGCTTTCTTACTTATTTTCTGTCTCCTCCCCGCCCCCACCATAATGTAAATGTAAGGAGAGCCCAGATCCAAGGCACCCTCAATGCCTAACAACACTTGGTGCACAAGAGGCCCTCCATAAATAGCGGCTTCGTGACTGAGTACAGCGGCTGTGCACACCGACATACAGATGCCCAGACAGTTGTAGAGTTTCCTTCTGGGGGCCACTGTCACGCCTTAGAGTTGAGAAGAGAGCATGCCCAGTCACTGACACAATCCAGAGACGAAAAAGAAAGACCCCAAGCCTATTCCAGATGAAGCAAGAAGATGAAGCCCAGATGGAGCTGGAAGAGACAGGAGACAGGATCCAGAGGCAGAGGCCCAGACCCGGGGCGAGCTCCGGAGAGAGGGACCGAGAAGGACCAGACTCAGCGAACTAGAGAGGCGGGCGCGCGGCAGCCCGGGCAGCAGCCGGAGACTGTGCCCGGAGGAGGGGCGCGAGCGCGGGGGAAGACTGCGGAAAACCAGCGCCCGAGCCCGGGGGCCCGGGAGCCCGGGAGCCCGGGAGCCCGGGCCACCCCGCCCCCGCTCACAAGTGGCCGCGGCAGCTGGCTGGAGCCCGGCCGCCCGCCGGCCCGACGCGTGCGTGATCAAAGCGGCCGGGAAGGGGCGGGCGGGGAGTGGCAGGAACCTGGAGGTGTGAGCGAGCTTCCCAGGGGATGGCCGGAGCGTGGGAGCACAGAGGGCCGGCAGGGGACAGAGTCCTGGAGACACGATCCCAGAGATCGAGACGCAGACGCGGAAAGGGATGCAGAGGTCGGAGAGACCCGGAGCCAGAGATACAGAGACCACAGAAGACCCAGAGAGACCCAGCGTAGCCGTTGTGAAGATACCTGGAAAGAATGTGAAAGAGACAGAGACGCCGATAGAAGGCGGGACAAAAAGGCCGTGACCGTGGACTTAGAGAAAAAAAAGGCGGGCTCCAGAGAACAGAAACAGAGAGCGAGGAAGAGAAAAGGAAAGAAGAGCAACTGGGCCTTAGAGCTCAAGGGGCGGAGGACCTCGCCCCTCCCCCGCGGAGGGCTGAGAGGACCCCCGGGGCAGGGATCCCAGCGCCGGGTCCTTTCTCAGGGTCACGCCTGCGGAGGTGCGGGCAGGGGGCGGAGGGAGGGGTGTGGACAGCCGGACCCCCAGGCTGGGAGGATGGGAGTGTGAGGACGTTCGAAATCAGGGGCTGGATCCGGCGCCTCAAACTCTGCTACAGAGTGAAAAAGCTAAGTATTAATATTAATATTTGGTAGAAATCTTAAAAATGCCTTTCAGATACATCAGAAAAGACATCTTTGGAGAAAGGACGAAAAGTCAGACAATGCATTGGCCGGGAATCGAACCCGGGCCTCCCGCGTGGCAGGCGAGAATTCTACCACTGAACCACCAATGCAAGTGAAGGTAAACCTTCGGTAGATCCAACTCAGTTTGTAAGGAGTCGAGGCGACTACGGCCAGGGAGGCTTTATGGCCAGGAAGGCTTTATAGCCAGGGTCTTCGCAGAGAAACGGTCCCAATAGTTGACATGGGTGGAGCGCCAGGCCATCCTTCCTCCCGCCTGGATCCGGTCACCCGGCCATAAAGTCGCCCCATATGGCCAGGGGCGGCCCCACACCCGGGTGCGAACTGCCGCCGGGGGCCCCGAGCCTCGCGTGCAGGTGAGAAAAACTCAGCCCAGCCCAGGTTCCCAAGGAGGGGGGCAGCGGGGGGTTCTGGGGCCACACATCTGCGCTCCCATTTGGCTCAGGTAGGGGGAGGTGGGATATGCTGGGTTCCCTGATTCCAAATGGGAGCGCCCTCCCCAAGGTCTGTGTTCCCCTGGCTCGGACTTTGGCAAGGCAGGCTCCGTGAAAAAACCAAGCTGTGGACGGGCGCTGGGAGGGCTCGGAGGAGCCCCATCCGTCTCTGACTCCGCAGCTATCTTCTGACTCGGTCTGCAACGCCACCGTGTCATTCTGTGTCCTTGTCCCTGGCATTCTTGCTGTCCCGTTAAATCTCTGATTTTATCTTCTCAGGCACTTTGTCTTGAAGTCTTCAAGTCTCACGCATCATTCTGCAGAGTGGCATACTCTTGGTTTGAGGTGGGTGTTGATCCCTTTTTTGTTCCCTTTCTTATCTTTTTAAGAAAACTGCCTTCTCCTTGTCCCCCCCCATAATCACGAGCGGTCCCCAGGAGCAAGCAACACGAGCTCACTTGTATCAGGTGTCCTGGCAGCCGCACCCCTGAATCTCCTATAATTAGTTTTGAATCAAATACTTCTAAGTGGGAAGATCTCTCCACCCGTGCTTCAAAGCCTTGCTTCCTCTTCCATGAGGCTTCCCCCACCCCAGTCCAACCGTCCCTCACGATGACCCTTTCCCAGAGCACCTAATTCACTGTGCTTCTAAAATAGCTACTTGACAACACATCAGCGTTTTCTACTGAAACTTGCAGGAATAAACTGGGCCTCCAGTCCATATCTCAGTATGAACGGTCCCAGCCTAGACCAGTGCCCAGTGGGCACAATGAACACACAGATATTGGGGAACTGAATATGATTGACTTAGATTGAACAGAGCTTCTCTTCCACCTGCAAAGTCCCAGTTGAATAAACGGATCCAGCCAGCACACTCAGGTGGCTCATTATCTCAAGTAGGAGGTGAATTTTGGGGAAAGATGTATAGGATCCAGCCTAGGGGCTGAGGGGTGCTAACTTTTCGATTTCAGGGTTAGTGGGGAGTACAGTGAGCTCCCAAGAAAGCTGAAATAGTGAACGGGGGGAACTCGAACTCCACTCCTGAGTTCTATCCCCAAACTACTCAAACTCTCTCTTCTCCTAATTACCTCCTCCCTTCAGCTGGGTCCCGCCTCATTATACAGCCTTATGGTCCTTAAACAACCGGTGCTGCACTGGCCTCTCATTTCCCACACTCCCAGGCCAGTTCCACTCGTACCCCTCCCCCTTGTGCTCCTCCCCTTTCCGGGAGCCTCGTGCCCAGGGTAGAGTCGGGCAGGAGCCAGGTGCCGAAGGGGCGGGTCCGGGTCTTTACCACCCCCTACTCGGGAGCCTGCGGGATATAAGGCTCAGGGAGAGCGGGGACTCGGTCCACACAAGGGTCCGGAGGAGCAATGGTCACCCGGGATCGAGCCGAGAATAGGGACGGCCCCAAGGTGAGAGGCGGGAGGGGAGGAAGCAGAGGTCCCTGGGCTGGTCAGGGGACAGGGTCCCTGAGACCGAAAGTCAGAGAAGAGGCTGGAGATGCAGGGCTGGAAGGGGGAGAGGTGCGCGGGGGACCCGAGGAGCCAGGAGCTGGGGAGGAAGCTGCGAAGTATGGAGAAGGGGTTAGCGTCAGAGCTGGCACTGGGTGGGCGGCAGAAGCAGAGGTCTGGGGCGTGGGTAATGGCAGTTGACACCTTGCGGCCTGGCGGGCTTGGGCGGGGGTCAGAGTCCGAGTAAAATAAGCAGGAGGAGCACAGAGCTAAGGGAGGAGAGTGGAAACAAAAAGCGGAGAGGATAGGCCTTTGCTCCACGCGGGCTGTGAGCCGGAGCTGGGCCAATGCAGCCTTGTAAGAGTAGGTCTGGAGGGCATTGGTTCCAGAGGCCCGAGCCCAGGTGGAAGATCTTAGAACCAACGGAGAAGGGTGACCGCACAGACGGGTTAGTGGGAGAAGAGGGGGCGCGGTCGCGCTGGGTATCTCCCTTTCTACACTCAGGGCCACCAACTCAGCCCGGCGCCTTGCGGCCCACGTGTCTGGGCGCAAAGAGGGCCCCCAAAGTTCTCCACTGAGACAGAGAAAGACTGCACGAGACGGAGACGTAGAGAGAAAAGAGGAGGAGGAGAGACACAGAGAGGGGAGGAGGGAGGACAAGAATGAGAGAGGAGAATGCAGAAGACCCGGGAGAGGAGGCGAGCTACAGAAATTGACCCTAGGGGCGTTGGGAGGGGGAGCGGAGAGGGATCGAATGGGTCCGGCCTTAGGTTCTCTGGCGTCTTGGGGAAGGGGTGGAGGCCGGACTACCCCAGCGGCGGGATTCCGACGCCCGCGCGGCCGCGCTGAGTCTCGGTCGGGTCGGCCCGCTCTCCCTTTCCTGCTGGTCGCAGATGCTGAAGCCGCTTGTGGAGAAGCGGCGCCGGGACCGCATCAACCGCAGCCTGGAAGAACTGAGGCTGCTGCTGCTGGAGCGGACCCGAGACCAGGTCAGTTCTTCCGCCATCATCGGACTCCCAAGCATTCCGTCCTCCTGTCTCAGGGCTTCCCACTTGGGTGGGGACATATGCTGCTTTGACGACCCTGGCCCCAAGGCATCCTGACCCTTCGAATCCCATCCCAGACCCCCCATCGCTCTCAGAACGCGATCTTCATCGCCACCCCTCGGGTCTGTAAGTTTCACACCCGGCTCTGTAAATTTCATTACCGGGGGTCAGTCAGTTTCAACCTTTGGGTCTGTAAATTCTCCCTCCTCCTCCCCCACACTCCCCGAGATAGCCAGCAGGGTGGTTAATTTCATTCCCCGGGTTTTCTGTTCACATCCGCTCCTCACACTGTGGGTTGGTTTCATCTCCTCGGGTTGGACAGTTTCGTCTCAGGGTGGGCCAGGACCATTCTTGGTCATCTCCACTCCACATTCGGTAGCGCGCTCTGTGGTCCGCGCACAAACGCGATCCAGGGGCACCCCCAGTTCCCGCATCCCCCCTCCCTTCTTCCCCCTGCCACTTTCCCCCTCTCTCCCCACCCCTTTCTGTCTCTGCGCCCTCCCCTCCCATCTGTAGAACCTCCGGAACCCGAAGCTGGAGAAAGCAGAGATACTGGAGTTCGCCGTGGGCTACTTGAGGGAGCGAAGCCGGGTGGAGCCCCCGGGTACAGCGCGGGGGTGGGGCAGCGGAGGGAGGGAGGGGAGAATTCACTGGGGCCCGGGCCGGGGTAGATGGGGCGGACCCTGTGGTGGACGGTGGGCTTGGGGTGTGGCATGCTCCGCTCCGAGGCGAGGTTAATAATAACACCCGCGCGTGTCTGTCTCTGTGTCTCCGTCATTTTCTCCCTCTGTCGGTCCGTCTGGCTTCCTGTCTCTGTCTGTGCGCCTGTCCGGCCTCGGTATCTCTGCGCCCCTTCCCTTCCCCCCCACCTTCTGGGACCCCTGCCCTGCCCTCCCGTCCTCCCGCCGGCCGTACCCGCTGCCGCGGCTTCAGGTGTTCCCCGGTCCCCAGCCCAGGACGCCGAGGCGCTCGCCAGCTGCTACTTGTCCGGCTTCCGCGAGTGCCTGCTTCGCCTGGCGGCCTTCGCGCACGACGCCAGCCCGGCCGCCCGAGCCCAGCTCTTCTCCGCGCTGCAAGGTTACCTGCACCCCAAGCCGCCCCGGCCGGAACCGGTAGATCCGAGGCCCCAAGCGCCGCGCCCACCGCTGGACCCCGCCGCCCCAGCACCTGGTCCCGCGCTGCACCAGCGCCCCCCAGTGCACAAGGGCCTCCCTAGCCCGCGCTGCGCATGGTCCCCGTCCCCCGGCTCCCCCCGAGCCAGGGATTCCGGCGCGCCGGCCCCCCTCACCGGACTGCTGCCGCCGCCGCCGCCTCACAGACAAGACGGGGCGCCCAAGGCCCCGCCGCCCCCGCCGCCCGCTTTCTGGAGACCTTGGCCCTGAGCTTTGGGGGGGTGGGGGTGGGGACGGGGGCTGGGGGGTTGGGGTAGAGACTCCAGCCCGAGCGCAGCAGAGGGACCCGGGCGTTGGGGTGAGGAGGTGTTGGGGAGGGCGGCGGGGCGCGCGGTCGCAGCGCGCGGGTGAGATGTGGTCTATATTAGAGTATCTATATAAATATATATTTCCCTGGTTCCTGTCCCTTCTCCCTGCCCCCTTTGCGTCTAGGATTGTACCCTCTCTGCCCCCGGCCCAGCCCCAGTCCCTTCCCCAGTCCCTAGTGCATGGAATAAAGTGGTTATTAAATCCCCGTGTGTCCCCGAGCCAGGGGCCTGCCTTTATCTCGGCGTCCACGCCCACTTTTCCTCCCCTTCTGTCTCCCCCCCCCCCCCCCCCCAGTCCTGCTCTCCTTGGCCCAAGACCCGGGGCAGACAGGTAAGTAAAGAAGAGCAGAGCGGAGGCTGAGGTTGGAACTGAAACCAGATGGAAAACAGTGAGATAGGATGGGGATGAAGGGATGGGAGCCTTTAAGAAAAAGCCGGATAAAGAGGAAAGGGAAAAAAATAAAATAAAATCGACTCTGGTGGGATTCGAACCCACAACCTTTGAATCGCTCTTTCGTCACTAGAAGTCCAATGCGCTATCCATTGCGCCACAGAGCCACCTAGCGGGCGGCGGCGTCTGACGGCTTACGGGTACTAGATTGGGAAAGGGGCGGGGGGAGGGGGAGGGTTGTGAGGGAATTGGGCGGGGCGTGTGACAGAAGCGCGTGGTTTGGACCTCAGAGGCTTGCCTGGAAGAGGTAGCGTGCGCAAAGCACGTGAGCCAGGTGGGAGTGCGGGAGCATAGGGGTGGAAGAAACTGGGAGACAGCGCAACTGAATATGAGCGAGCGAGCGAGCAAGTACAGAGCTCCAGCTGCCCGCTTGGGGGATGCTTCCAGTCCAGGCGCATCCCACTCCCAGATGTGGCCCCACCCATAAGAATAAACTTGTTTTGTTGGAAATTTTCTGTGTGTCTCTGTTTCTTCTGGTTTCTCTGCTTTCCCATCTGCTGCTCCGCTCTCCGAAGGAATCTCGATAGTTCCCAAAGAAGACCAGCCAATTTAGCAGAACTATTTGTAGCGCCACTCCTCCTTTCTAGTCTCTTAGGAAGACTGCGGGAAAACATTTCCCCCACACAGGTAGCGTGGCCGAGCGGTCTAAGGCGCTGGATTTAGGCTCCAGTCTCTTCGGAGGCGTGGGTTCGAATCCCACCGCTGCCAGACCAGAGTTTTTCTCGAGGCTTAAGCACTCTTTAATTCATAAATTACTTACTTTTATGAGAACTGGTAGTGGTCTCACCAACGTGTATTCCAGACAGAACTTAGGTCTGCCTCCCAGCCCCAAACCAATACATAATGGAAACTGCCAAAGAAACCTCGGACCTTCATAATCGATCTCCACTTTAACATGTCAAATAACATTCCTATCAAAATTAGTGCAACTTGCTATATATTTAAGTGACTTACTGTATGTTCTCCTGACGGTGTGCTACAGGCTCGAATTACCTAGCCTGAAAAGCTCAGAAGGTAAGATCCTAGTTTAATTTTCTTTCCAGATCCTTTCAGACCATAAGAGAATATCATTCATGAAGCTAATGAATAATATAATAGAACACACTGGTATTGACTGAAAACGAAAAAGGAAAGGTTCCACCGAGATTTGAACTCGGATCGCTGGATTCAGAGTCCAGAGTGCTAACCATTACACCATGGAACCCATTCCCTAAGACGAGCTTCTGACAGTATATATATTATTGTACTTCCTATTCTGTGCCTTTACATACTTTGCCATTCATAGAAGACAAAAAAGAGTTGTCGGATTAGGGTGGATACCGCTATCGAGCACCTGAAATATGAATTTAAATGTGCTGTAAGTATAAAATACACACTGTAATTAGACGACAGTACAAAAAAATGGTTAAAATTTCATTAATAATTTAAAAATATTGATTACAGGATAAAATAAGATTTAGGATATAATGGGTTAAGTAAAATGTTATTAAAATTAATTTCAAAAAAATTTCACCTATTTCTTTGTACTCTTTTTAATGTGTGGCTCCTAGAAAATTTCAATTCGCATGTATGGCTCGCATATGCACCGCTCTAAAACATCTCCGCTCTCCCTCCACTGTCATTCGTTCTGCCTTCTGAAAAATACCCTGCCGCACTTAATGCCATTTCCTCTTAACACCAGGCAGCAATATTTGCGTTACTCTTTTCCTCTGTTATGTTTGAAAGTATACAATTATTTACTCAAAAGTATTCTAAAGATTGTCATGTACCGGTGGAGAAAAAGGGTAGACGCCCGAACAGGGACTTGAACCCTGGACCCTCAGATTAAAAGTCTGATGCTCTACCGACTGAGCTATCCGGGCTCTGCTAGTTAGGCCCTTCTACTTCCTATAAGAGTTTCGCATTTACGAAAATGCTGAGGCTAAGCGATACCCTATGCACGCGCGCAGGAGACTACAGAACGCACCTCGAGGAAGCCGGTGAAGCTAATGGCGGATGATTGCGCTTTATCGGACCCCCTCCGTACAGCGGCCGCACCTGTTAGGACGCTGGGGGCTGGAGCGCCGCGGAGGCTAGGTGGGTGCGGTGTCGGTATCGGCAGCACGGGGGCGCTGCCGGCCGCGGGCTTCCCTCGAGGAGAGGTTTCCTCCCAATCCGGATGACCGAGACCCCAGGCACCCCACGCACCTGGGCTCTCCTGCCTACCGCCCCAAGGCCAAGGGCGGCCCGGAGCGGAAAGAAGGCCACATGGGGTCTTCAGATGCTGTGCGCCCGGAGACCACTTCGGTCCCCAGACCGGCCCTATTCCAAGCGAGAGACTGAGATCGGGAGTGCCAAGGACCGGGGACACAAGAGGCCCGGGCTTGGGGGTGGTGGTGCCGAGTTTAGGAGGTGACAGGAGGGCTGTTTCTGACCCCTATGCAGTGTGCAGAGATGCGTGTCCGATTCGCATGTGGCTGTAGTCACGTGTGATTTACGGCTCACTTGTGTATAGTGATTCACATGGATGATTCACAAGTAGGAATGCGGGTGCCCTGTGGCCAGTTCTGGCTGAGAGAGGATGAAAGAGTCTTGGGGGAAGTTGGGGAGTGGGCGGACAAGGGCCCCAGGGCATCAGTCGGCCCCTGACCAGGAGCAGATCAGTGTCCCAGTCATACAGGCGTCACCTAATCCCTGTCTCCCTCTCGGCATCTGGTCCCTCCCTTCCCAGTGGGACCCGGGCTCCTGACAATCATCTGGGTGAACCCGGTCCTGCCAGTCAGAGGGACCGGCTGTGCCAGATGCAAACAAACAACTATTAGGGCGAAAGGCTGTGGGCGGGAAGAGGGAGCCCTCAGCTAGCAACAACAGAGAGCTTCTGGAGCCAGCGAGCCAGCGAGTGAGCCCTAGAGCATCCCAGAGACAGCTGGACTTTTCCTCAAAGGCCTATCCTGACCCCCAGGCTCTGACCCAGCAGCTCAGCAGCCCAGCCCTGCCTGGCCTGCGGCTCACCTCCTCCAGGCCGGCTGCCGGGGACATCCTTCCTTCCCTCCCATCATGGCCGTGTACCGCGTGTGTGTGGGCACTGCTCCCTACCTGATGGCCGGCACACTGGACATTTTTGTCACACTGGTGGGCACATGTGGTGAGAGCCCCAAGCGGCGGCTGGATCGCGTGGGCAGGGGCTTCGCCCCTGGAGAGAGGGAGGAGCCACCCCGAGGGGCAGAGCGGACAGGGGACCCTGAAGGAGGAGAGGGTCTTTCCTCCAGAGCTCATCAAATCCTGCAGAACTCAGGATGCCGGTCCTGACCTCGTCACTACCCCTATTCTGGTCCTGTCTTTTCTGGGGATGATAAACCCTATCCAGGCAGGGCTGTGGAGAAGGAGCCCTGGGCAGGGGCTCCGGAGAATTCCACTGGCTTCCTAGCTCCTCCTCCAGTAACTGAAGGTGGGCTTTGGGGAAGGCGCTTGCCCTCTTTGAGCCTGGGTTTCCTCTTCTCTGGAAGGGGTCCACCTGCCTCTGCCAGGCCCCAGGATTGTTTGCTGCTGGCCTACATAAGGTGAGGGCTCCAGGGAGGCTAGGGAGATCCAGAATCTACTCTGCTCACACAGGACTCCTGCAGCGCCGTGGCTGCTACTGCCTGGATGAAGGATGCCTTTTTCTAATTCATGCAAAGGCTCCACATGGGTTACGGTCAGCTCGGGTTTATATGTCAGACTAGGTGTCGGTGTAGTCGCACTTTTCAAGGTGCAAGGATGACGTTGGCAGTTCCTTGCCTCTCAACTGCTTGCTCTCTTGCCCCCCAGGTGCAGAAGTACAAGGTACGCTGCTCAGAGGAGCTGGGTGAGCTCTTGCTGCTGCGGCTCCACAAGGAGCGCTACGCTTTCTTCCCCAAGGACTCCTGGTACTGCAGCCGTATCTGCATCACTACCCCTGGTGGTACTCTTTGCCACTTTCCCTGCTATCAGTGGATTGAGGGCTACTGCACCATAGAGCTTCGACAAGGAACAGGTGGGCCAGAGGCAGGGGCTGGCCTAGGCTGCAGAAGACATCTGCTGGGATCAGGGGGAGCTCTCACAAGAGCCCAGGGTGTAGGGAATAGGGCTGGATTTAGGGTAACTGGAACTCAGGGCTCCCAAGTAGGTGCTTTCTGAAAATATAAGCCTCTAACGCCCTGAAATGCAGGGGCTTTCTGGGCAGTATTTACTCACCCCCCCAGACACACAGAGACTAGGCACACACACACTTACATACACTCACACCACTCAGAAACACACACACAAACACATAGATATGTGTGCTCACCACTGACACCCTCTGCCCTTCCCCAGAGCCAATTCCTCTGAGAGGAATTAACCTGCAAGCTGAGTTACTGAATTTCAACAGGGGGAGAAGCCCTGAATGTTTAGAGAATTTAGCTGGAGAGGCCCTGGCCACTACCACTGGCTTTTCTGGTATGGATGAAGTCCCTGTGAGGGGCTGTTCAGATTCTTTCTTGAATTTGGGGGACGTTTCAAGGTTGCTGGGCTGAAGGTCCTTCAGCCCCTGGACCCCCATATCTCCTGAGCAGCTCTCTCATCTGCAGAGGCAAGACTAAGGCGAGTCCGAGCATGGAGATGAGTCTTAGGCATGAGAGATGATGTTCTAGGTCAAGGTGAAGCAAGTGAACGTCACCCTTGCTAGTACTGTGAGTTACTCATAGACTTCACTCTGAACCCCCATCTGTCATCACAGCACATCCACCCATCACTTCACAAAATATACTCGTTCACCAGTCCTTTGTCAAGTGCATATTATATGCACGGTGCAAGGCACCATGCTGGATGCTGGGAATACACGAAATGAATACGACGTGCCTTCTGCCCCCAAGGAGCCAAACATGCAAACAACTAGGAAGATTGTTCTAATCTGGGGGTGAGGTTGTCCTGAATCCCTTCTACTGACGAATGCACAAAGAATGTGGGACATCCGTGTCACTGAGGGATTGGGTTCAAGGGTTGGGGGGTTCAGGACAGGCATGCTGGAGGAGGTGTCATTTGACAAGAGACTTACCAATGAGTAACTTTCATTCCTCACGGCAAGAACTATTTGTCAGGACTCCCTTCCCCTCCTTCTGGATCACAGGAAATGGGAACTCCAGGCCTGACAGGAATGCTACCGGTGAGGGTGGCCTAATTTGACTTCTTTGCTATCTTAATCTGACCTCATCCTTAATCAGACTGGTACTAACTCTAAACTCAATTCCAACTTTGGGGGCCCAGCTCTGATCACGACCCTCATTTAAACCTAACCTTAATCTAATATTGACCCTGAGCCCAGACCCAAAATGCCAGTACCGACAATTGTCCCAACAACATCAATGAACCCACACTCAACCCCAGCTGTCCTGATGTGACCCAGATACCAGACATGACCCTAGGATTGACCAACTTCAGCCCATCCTCAGCCTCACCCCCAAACCAGCCATGATCTTGATCTCAACACAAACCCAACTCTAAACCAGTGTGGACATTCATGTCATCCTCAAATGCTATCCTGATCTGAAGCTTAGTGCCTTCAGGAAAAAAAAAAAACTTTAATTCTTTGTCATCTACCCAGAAAATGGGTGGTTTCTGGGAGTTTTAAAGTCATGTCTTTGAAAGCTAAGGTTCCTGTTTACCCTAAGCTTCACTTGCCACCTCTGACCTCTTTCCTCTGGAAGCTGGCAAGTCTACGCCCGCCCCTGGCTTCCCCGGCATTGTAGGCGTCAGCAGCTTTGAGGAGGTGGAGTCAGATAAGAAATTTGCTTTGATCAAGAGGGTGCCTTGTGCAGACCAGGGCGACAGGTGAGGGTGAACTGAGATTTGGGGAAGAAGCTGGAGGGGCGTGAAGGGTCTGTTGTGAGGACTGGGTGGGCGGCCTGGAAAGCAGGATCGGTGACAAACGCAGTTTAATTCAAGTGTCTGGAGAAGAATGGGTAGGGATGGCCCCTGGGGTCTGGCAGAGAGGAGGGGAGAGGGCAGGGGAGGAGCCTGGAGTGAGGGGAGGCCTGGGGATTCTGGGGTAGGAGAGAGGAGAGGAATTAAGGGGAGTGGGCTGCAGGTCCCTCTGACTGGTTTCTGTCCTTCTGCTCCCTCCACTCCCCAGCAATGAGAATAGGTACCGGCCTGGCTTTCCCATGAAAACTGACATCCCGTCCTTGCTGTCCATGGAACCCAATATTTGCTACTCGGCCACCAAGACAACCTCGCTGCTCTTCAACGCCATCCCTGCGTGAGGCCACTGCTCTCTCCGCACTCCTGCTCACTCTTCCTTCAGCCTCTGTCCCTTTGATGCACATCCATGTCTCTGCCCCCAGTCTCCCCTCTCCCCGTCTCCAGTCTCCCCTCTCCTTGTCCCCAGTCTCCCCTCTCCCTGTCCCACCACCCCGTCTCCGCTCTCTCTTTAAGCAACTCCATTCTCTAGCTCCCCATCACCACCTCTTTGCTCTTAATTATCCCTTCTCTTTCCATTCCTCAAATCAATAGAATTAATTGAGCACCTACTCAGAGCACAGCATGGTCCCAGGCACTGTTGGTGGGACCATGTTGAGTAGGACCAGAAAGGCCCAGCCCTTAAGATTTAAGGAGGTGGTCAGGCCACCTCAGGTTCAATTTCCAGACCAAAACTTTCTAGCTTTATGACCTTGATTTTCACTTAGCCTCTAAACTGTTTTCTCATTTTTAAAATGAAAACAATATTCATATCTACCTCATAGGTGTGGGGGAGACTTTAATGAGCTAACATCCAGCACAAAATAATCTCTCAATAGAGGTTACTGAGTAGTATTAGGATAGAGTTTTGGCCAGGAGGAACTCACAGTCTCCCTCGGGAGACGTGCAGCACAGTTAATCAGCAATCGGAGGGGTCACAAGCAGCTCAAGTCTGAGGTTGTGAGTGTGATGTGGCTGGAGGGGGTACAGCTGACATCTAGTGCATAGAGGAGGCGGGTCAGCGGGGCTCAGGAGGTGGTTTTTGGGGAGACACGTGGGGATTGAAGCTTTGGGCGGGGGGGGCGGGGCGGGGGGAGGATCAGTGAGGGGAGAGTGGGTGGGTTCTGGGCAGACCCAGGTCAGTATGGCAGGAGGAGTGCAGGGCTCGGCCATCTGCGTAGGGGCTGCATTAGGAGGCCCAGAGGAGGCCAGGGCAAGGAGCCGGATCCTCGTGTTCTGGGCTTTGGTGCCAGAACGGTTCTTCTGGAGAAGCACTAGTGGGAGGGGATGCAGAGGTGAGGCGGAGTATGGAGCTTGAGTGTGTCCACAGTGGATTGGGGTGCACAGGCAGACACAGGGGGCTCAGGCTTCAGGACAAGGACCCGCTGAGAGGCCCTGGCAGGGCTAAGGGACCAGGGGAGCATCCCGGAAGGTAGAGTCACCTGAGTTGGTCCCCCGATGGATATGCGGGTCTAGGCAAGGGAGGGCCCAGGAGACCACGTGGACAGCCTGTGTGAGGCTCAGAGAAGGGCCAATGGGAAGAGGAGCTGGAATTTGGCAGCCATGTGGTCATTTACAGAGGGGTGGGAGTCACTGGGCTTTAGTGTGAGGTGACTGCAGGGTGTCCTGAAGGACATGTGTGGCAGGCCTTGCAAAAGGAAGGCCTGTTCTTTCTTCTCTCTTGTGTCCTCAGCCTCTGTTTTAATGACCAAGCTCCCATCCAGTTTTTCCCATCCCCAGGTCCTGAGTGGGCAGGCGCTCAGCAAAGACCCATGGAAGGAGGAGTGAGCGGCTTAGTGAGCACGTAGGAAGCTGCCCCTGGGCTTGTCAGGTTACTGAGGCCCCTGCGCCCTCTCCAGGTGCCCACACTCTTCATGGCACATCAGCATCCTTCCACAGCCTACCTTACTGACCAACTGCCATAACCCTCCTATCCTATGTTCCATTCCCTTCCATTTGACTTGGCCTAGCTAGTGAGCAATTATTACGAACTGGGTATGTCAGGCATACACAGCCCAGTCCTGGCCCTAAGGAGCCCACAGTATACTAGGAGCTGATTTGAGTACACTGTAGGATAATAAAGGGAGTGATGTACTTAAGGGTTTACGATGGAACGAAGGAAGTCATGGGTACTTTGTGAAAGATACACACAAGGCGTGTGTTTGGGGGGCCATCAGGCCATGCTTCATGAAGGACTTTGCATCTAAGATGCACACAGAAGAACAGATAGGTTTGATACTAGGTGGAGATGTAGCAGAAGGTTTTCTAGAAGAGGCACAGCTTGAACAAAGCCCTGGACAGGGGAGAAAGCTGATTTCATTTCAAGCATTTTTTTCTGATTATAAAATAGTACATGCTCATTGTAAAATAATTAAAACAGTACCGACATCCACAAAGTGAAAAGTGCCGGCCCGCAGGTTGGCAAGCCCACTTTTACCGGTTCAGTGTACAAAGTACATCTCTGGCTATGTTTAGCAAGAAGGCTGTAACTGGATTGGTTAGTGCAAAGGGTGGGAGAAAAAGCTAGAAAGGTTGTAGAAATCAGCTGGTGGGGAGCTTCCTAGGCAGCCTGAGCAGTTGGGGCTTTGTCATGTGGGCGGAGGGGGACCAGGGAAGGTCTGTGACAAGCTCAGAGCTTGGAGAAAGCAGGACGAAACACCAACGAGGAGACCTGTCTGCACCCTGCACGCCACCTTTGCACACACATGTGGAGTCACCCCTACAAAGCCTCAAGGAGCCTCTAGACTTTTCTCCCATGTGGACTGTTAGGTACCTCTTCTCTGGGCGCTGACCTCGTCAGATCCCTCCAGGCCTCTAGGCTGGGGGCACAGTGCAGTTGGCAGCCCCTAGCCCCCCTGCCCACCCCCACTGCCCCTCCCACAGGTCCCTGGGCATGAAGCTTCTGGGTCTGCTGGACCGCAAAGGCTCCTGGAAGAAGCTGGATGACATCCGGAATATCATGTGTTGCCACAAGACCTTCACCTCAGGTGTGCAGAGCCAGGCAGAGATGTCCATCCTCCACCCTACCCCATACTCAGACCCCTCCGCCCCATCCTGGGAAAGGGCCTTCTTCTGGCCCTCTCAGGGGGACTGCTGGATCCCAAAGGGAGGGGCTCCTGGCTTCACTGGTGGCAATCTCCCAGATTCCCCTCAGGAACCAATCTCTCCTCCCTCTGGGAGGGGACAAGAATAAGTGAGTGGGGACAGAGAGAGGGTCACGGGTCACTTAAGGAGTCCTGATCCTGATCAGATGCACTTGCCTCTCTTCCCCTACCCCTGCCACCAAGAGTTCTGGGCTTTGGGGCCAGACTTTGGTTCAAATCCCTGCTCTGCCACCCAACTGAGCAAGTCACTCTACCTCTTGGAATTTCGGTGTCCAGTGTTAAACTGAAGATATAATTATACCTACTCTCATAGGATTGTTGTAAGGAAAGGCTAAACCACGGTGATGAGCAAAGGGCTGGGTTGAGCATGATCTAGTGAAGCAGTTTCCAGCTCAACTGGCCCCCCCCTGTTGTCCCCTAGAGTACGTCACTGAGCACTGATGTGAAGACCACTTCTTCGGATACCAGTACCTGAACGGTGTCAATCCTGTCATGCTCCACTGCCTCTCCAGCTTGCCCAGCAAGCTGCCTGTCACCAATGACATAGTGGCCCCCTCGCTGGGACCAGGCACCTGCCCGCAGACAGAGCTAGAGGTGAATGAGTTGTCAGTAGGGAGAAGGGATGGGTATGGAGGGTAAGGGTGGGATGGCTGCATCCAGCCTGCAGGCCTCATCCCCCAGCCCTGCGCCTTTAAGTAGAGCAGATATGGATGAGAGCCAGATGGGGCTCAGGCTTGAGGCATGAGATGGGGCCTGCTGAAGTGGTATGAATGAGCATGACAGCCTGGAGGAGGAGGCCCTGTCCCTGTTCTGGGGCCTCCAAGATCCCAGGTGCTGAGGCCTGAAGAAGGCTGTTTTAGGACAGGCCAAAGGCAGCACCACTAGAGGAGCAAGAATGATCCTTGAGAACTAGAAACTCCGAGGGTGTGGGAGGAGATGACAGCCCAGTCAAGCCCTCAGGCATCCTCCAGGAGGCTGGAGATGGGGTTGGTGGATTCCCCTCGTGTGTTGATTTTGCTGATACTGGATACAATGAAGTCATCTGACTTGAGAGAATAGGAAGGACCAGGTATGGGGAAAGGGGGAGAGGATGCCGGCTTGTCCAAGCTGCTGGGAAGCCAGGTGAGAGGCTGCACAACGAAGGACTCAGCTGGACCTCATTCCGGACATTTGGGGAAGGGTGGGGTACCCAACACTGGCCTTTAGTGCAGGCACCAATAATTACTGAGACCCAGGCTGGAGTGGGAGCGGCCAGAGAACGGAGGGAAGCAGAGCGCGGGTGGGGAGAGCACTCTAAGGCTCCGTGCAACTTCCCCAGAGGGGGCACATCTTCCTAGCGGACTACTGGATCCCGGCAGAGGTCCCCATCCATTGCATAAACGGCCGCCCGCAGTACGCAGCCTCCCCACTCTGCCGGTTGTGGCTCAACCCCCAGGGGGCGCTGGTGCCCTTGGCCATCCAGGTGAGCCTGGGGTCGGGCTCTGGGGGGTTGCGGGGGGGGGGGCGGCGCGGGGCGAGGCTGCGGGGGCGGGGCCTCAAGGGTCACACTAGTAGTCTAGAGCCTCAGCCCCTTATTATTCCTGGACGCAGCTCAGCCAGACCTCCGGGCCAGACAGCCCCATTTTTCTGCCCACTGACTCCGACTGGGACTGGCTGCTGGCCAAGACGTGGGTGCGCAACTCGGAGTTCCTGGTGCACGAGAACAACACGCACTTTTTGTGCACGCATTTGCTGTGCGAGGCCTTCGCCGTGGCCATGCTGCGTCAGCTGCCGCGCTGCCACCCCATCTACAAGGTCTGGGTGACCCCCGGGCGGGGCCAGAGGGAGCGGGGCCGGGGCGGCCTTCTCCCCTGACCTTCGGCTCCTGTGATCTCAACCCGCTCGCAGCTCCTGCTTCCGCACACTCGCTACACGCTGCAGGTGAACACCGTCGCACGCGCCACGCTGCTCAAACCAGAGGGCCTTGTGGACAAGGTGCGGCCTCCCGGCTCCCCGCCCGCCCCTTCCAAGGGGCTCCTTCCCGAGGGCACCTTGCCCTGCCCACAAACCCTGTCTCCCTCCCTTCGATCCCACCCACCGGCCCCACCTCCTCGGGCTCGGGGTTCCAAAGGCTCCTAGAGTTGGACGAGGCACCCCGGCCTGAGCACAGCCGCCCGCTGACCCTGCGTCGGCGCTCCCCTCCCGGGCCCGGCCTTCAGTTATTCTTCTAGTTCCCACGTACCTAAGGATTACCGCCTACGCACGTAGTAAGGCCGCAACCTGCGCAGCCCATGTCGTGCTCTCATGGGTGTTTGATCCTTGGTCTTGGACTGCTCGATTAACTAAAAAATGCCCTCTGCTGAGTCACTAGACCAATTTCATCCCCAGGCACTGGGGTGGGGGATGGGCCGGTCCGGGAGCCCAGCTGTGTTCTGTCCTCAGGTCACGTCCATCGGGAGGAAAGTCCTCCTCTACCTCATGAGCACCGATCTGGCCCACTTGACCTACACCAATTTCTGCCTTCCAGACAGCCTGCGGGCCCGCGGCATCCTGGATACCCCCAACTACCATTACCGAGACAACGGCCTGAAGGTCTGGGTGGCCATTGAGAGGTGTGGGCCTGGGACCTGCAGCCAATCTGGCCCAGAGGCAGGGTGGACCCGTGTGCTCATGCAGGCTGGGGTGCTTGATGCTGGGGGTTTCAGGTGTCCTCAGGCCCAGCGTGGGGCACCTCAAGGGTGAGAGTTGCGGTTGGGGTTCCTTATGAAATGACAGGTAGCCATGGGCTGAGGAGGGGCTGGGCTGTGTGTGAATGAGCAGAGGACCGGAAGGACGGGCCGTCCAGAGGAGTCAGGGCAGCAGCGACAGCTAGGTGTGGGCTGGGGCCTTTAGGTGGGCAGGTCTTCCCTTCTCCTGGGTGCTGAGTGGCGAGGGGACACAGCATGTCAGGCTCTCCTCGGTGGCCTCTCTGGAGTGGGGGTGAGACTTGAGGCAAGCCTGGGCACTGGGGTTCCAACTGAATCTGGGGGTCCCCACTGAACCCCCATGGACTCTCAGTGGACTCTGGGCAGCTGGCTCTCCCTGGCCTGAGCAGCACTGGGCCTTGGTTTTCGGGTGAGGCCTGAGCCCAAGGTCACTGCCGTAGCAGGGACATCTCTTTCCTACAGTTTTGTCTCAGAAATCGTGGCCTACTATTACCCCAGTGATGCATCTGTGCAGCAAGATTCGGAGCTGCAGGCCTGGGTTGGAGAGATCTTTGCTCAGGAGTTCCTGGGCCAGGAAAGCTCAGGTATCCCCTCCCCATCCTCCAAACCCACTGTCCCCCTTGGCCCTACCATGACCCAGTTCTTATTCATTGGCAAGCCTTGGAAGTACATGCTGTTGTTAGCCCCACCAAACAGATAAGGAACAGGCACAGAAGGCTGCACAGGTAGTTAAGTGGCAGAGGCAGGATCCAGAGCCAGCGCCCAACATCTCCAAAGCCCTTGCTTTCAGCCACTACATGGTGCCTGTCTGGTCCCTGCTCGACCTTTACCACCCATTCACCTCCGCTTGCTGAGGTCTGTGGATGAGTCACATCATGTGGTAGAAGCCATCTCCAGCTGCAAGTACTAAGGACTCTGGAATCCTCTTTCATACCCTCTTATGCCCGTCCTGCTGGGTGGCCCCTCCAGCCACCAACCTCTCTCACTTTTGGCTTCATGGAGTAGCTTGGTACTGCTGTTGCCTGATTCCTCCTTATTTACACCTGTCACTGGCCCCTAACTCTCCCCTCTCTTCTGACACTGCCAGAGTGGCCTCTGAGACCCACCAACACCAGTGGCCCCCTCTCAGGCCTCCTTTGCTTAGTCCTCCCTTCCTTAAAGTCTTCCCTTTGCTCCACGGAGGACGTGTCCTTCAGAACCTCCCACTTCTTTCAGGCCTTCTGCCGCCTCCCCATCCCAGCCCTGGCCGGAGGGTGGAAGACTGTCACTGCCTGGGATGTCTTCTCTTGGCAGGGATGTGACTTTTAGCTGACTTAGCACTTTTGATGGCCACCCAGAGGAATTCCCATCGGGGGAGACCCAGGAAGGAGGCGTGGTCTCAGGTCACCAGGAAATAGAATGAACAGCTGGTGTAGCCCTACCTGTAATGGGCTCCAAAGGTTTTTTTTTGGCCACTCTGTGCAGCCTGTGGGGATCTCAGCTCCCCGACCAGGGATCAAACCTGCACTCCCTGCATTGGAAGAACGGAGTCTTAACCACTGGACCATCAGGGAAGTCCTGGCTGTTTTTTTTTTTTTAAACAAAATTTTGAACATACAGAAAAGTATAGGATATGATGTAATGAACACCCATTTACCCACCACCTAGACACAGTTCTTAACATCTTGCCATATTTGATTAAGCTGTTGCTTTTGCTTATTGCTGAAGTCTTTTAAGGTAAATTACACACATTTCATATTTTACCCCTAATTGCTATGCATCTCAAAAAAAAACCCAAACAAAGCCACGATGCCGCTTTTCTACACAACCGCAATGCTGCCATCATATTTAACAAAATTGACAATAATCTCCAACATCACCCTCTTACCAGTCCATATTCAAATTTCCCCACTTGTCCCATTCTCCCTCAGCTGATCCTGTTGATTCTGGAGCCAGTCAAGGACCACATGACACCTTTGTTTGTTTTGACTCTAAAGCCTCTCTCACTTTAGCACAGGCCCCTCCACCCTTTTTGAAATCACATGACATCTCACAAGGGCTACTGAAAAGCTAGGACTAGTTGTTCTGAAGAATGTCTCACCTTCCAAATTTATCTAATTGCTTCCTCATGATGTCATTCCTCTACCCCCTGTGTTTTTTGTCAACCGGAAGCAATACCTAAAGGTTAAATGTTTTGGGCAAGAGTATTCCTCCAGTGATGCTGTGTTCTCTGCATTGCATCATATTGGGAGGCATGTGACGTCAGGCTGTCTCACTATGAGTGATGCCAAGTGTGACTTCTGGGTTAAGGTGGTGACAGCCAGGTCTCTTTTGGATCTTTTAAAGGGCAGCCCCTCCCTGTGCTTTGCACCCCTACTATTAATCAGGGGCGTCCTGATCCTGACTGCTTCTCCTCCAGGGACAGCTATTTTTCTCTTTGGGGTTATCTGTTTCCTATTCAAGACCCAGAGCGGGATCAACTCTCTGATCTTTCTTTATTCAACTTGTCTCTGATTTAATACATCAGGACATCCTTCAGATAGACAAACATCTCTTCCAAACAGCCCAAAGTAATTCTAGACTCATGTTTTAAGGTAAAACACATTCATTCATTAACCTCAGTCAGCATGCCTCTTGCTTCCATATTTCAAAGGGAAAAAACAAACAATATGCACTACAGAAAAATTCCCGTAGACGGTCTATCTTTGCTTTTTTATTCTATCCACCACGAACAGAACATTCAGAAAATTCCCACACACTCCCAGGCAGACAGACACCTGGTCCTTCCTCCAAGCCTCTCTGTCTGCTCTGTTGCATCAGCCTCTTTCTTGTCATCCTGACTCCAAACCCTGGAGCCATCTTGACTCATGTTCCCCGATGTCTTCCTCTCTCCCTACATCCAGTAGGGTGGCTAATCCTATTGTCCCCATCATTTTCTACTGTCACCGTCCGAGTCCCAGTCCTCTCACTACTCGTGCGTTGTGGCAGCCGCCTCTCAACCCGTCCCACCCCTCCCAGCCTCTCGCTGCTCGCCTGCCAATTCAATTACTGGGGCCACTGCCCCAGTAATCCTCTGAAACAGTGCCCAGAAACTACCCTGCCTGGCACACTGCTGCAGCCTCACCTCCAATTAAGTCTCCTCCTTTTCCCTCACGTTGTTTATGCCTCCGTGCCTTCCCACTCTGGCTTCCTACCCTCTCACGCTTTCACTTCATTCAACCAGTAAAATTTATTAAGTACTGTTAATATTTATTAAGTATTGTTCGAGGTGCTGGGGTTCAGCAGTGAACATGACAGACAAAAATCCTGGCCTTCATGAAGCTTAACATTCTTGTGGGGAGATACAGATAATAAACTAGCAAATATGTCAGGTGGTTATGAATACTAAGGAGAACAAAAGAGCATCAGGGGATATAGTGGGTCGAGGTAGGGGGGATTATTTCAGGTAGGTGGTCAGGGAAGGCCTCTCTGAGGAAGTGATTTTTAAAAAAAATAAATTTATATATTTATTTATTTTGGGCTGTGTTGGTTCTTTGTTGCTGCTCACAGGCTTTCTCTAGTTGCAGAGAGCACGGGGCTCTAGGTGTGTGGGCTTCAGTAGTTGTGGCACGTGGGCTCAGTAGTTGTGGCTCGCAGGCTGTAGAGCACAGGCTCAGTAGTTGTGGCGTATGGGCTTACTTGCTCTGCAGCATGTGGGATCTTCCCCAACCAGGGCTCGAACCCATGTTCCCTGCACTGGCAGGCGGATTCTTACCCACTGTGCCACCAGGGAAGTCTCTGAGGAGGTGATGTTTGACAGAGATGTGAAGGAAGGGAGAGAGCTAGTTCTGTGGATAACCGGGGCAAGAGTGTACAGGCAGAGATGGAGTCAGTGCAAAGGCCCTGAGGTGGGAGTGTGCTGGTGGGTTTGAGGAATCAGAAGACCCATGTGGCTGAGTAGAGTCAGAGGGAGAAAAGTAGGGAAGGAAATTAAGTTGGAGAAGGAATGAGAGCCAGATCAAGTAGGGCCATGGCGAGGCAAGTGAGGTGGGAAGCCCTTAGTGGGTTTTAGCTAGGGGTGACATAATTGGATTTATGATTCTAAAGGATCACTCACTCCAGCTGTCACGTGAAGAACAGGCTGTCAGGGGCAAAGGCAGAAGCAGTCAGATTCATCCAGGAGCGAGATGCTGGAGACAGGGTGGTATGGTGATGGGACGAGATTGGTTTCTGCAAGAATTTGCTGACTTGTGCGGTATGAGATAAAGAGAGGAGCCAGCGCACGGATTTTGGCGGGAGCAACTGGACAGAGAGCACCGAAGTGGGACCACTGGTGGGGGAGGGGGAGATGGGTTTGGGGAGCGTGCGGAGTAGGGAGTCAAGCATTAGGCTTGGCAGGTGTCAAGTCTGAGGTGCCTCATAGACACTCAGGCAGAGGTGTCAGGTAGTAGCTGACACCCACTGCTGAGTCCAGAGTTCAGGGGCCAGGAGGAGGAGAGATGTGAATTTGGGAATCCTCAGCCAGTGGGAGGTGCTTAGAGCCACAGTCTTGAATGAGACCACTAAGGTACAGAGAAAAGAGGACCAAGGGCTCAGCTTGAAAATGCCTTCCTCTGTCTTCTTTTCTCCATTCAAAGCTCACCCATTCTTCTACCCAGGGAGGCCCTTCTCTTCCTCCAGGAAAGTCACCCCTAACCACGCCAGCCCCAGTGCCGAGCCTGCCCTGCCTGCCCTCTCCTCAAAGAGCCAAGCCCTGGCCTTAAAGCCTCCCTCTGCTTCTACCACTTCAAGCTTATAAGTAGCACCCTCTCTGGCCATCTGTCTCTGCCACTAAACCCAGCAGTGGAGGATCTGCTCCTGAGTGCTCAGACAAATCTTGGTGAACTGGGGAGAATTAAGTCATTAAGTACTAATACGGGCTGCAGAAAGAAGTGCCTTGGTGTTCAGGGAGGGGCAGCTTGGCTGTCACGTTGAACCCACCGGGCTCTTCGGTTGTGAGCTCTGCCAACTGGGCATTTTCTGGTCCCGTCCCAGTACCCCCTTCAGAGACCACACCTTGGTGAAGACCATCCCTAACCTCAGCCCAACCCTAATCCTTGTCTAAAGACAGTGGTGGCCACATGTTCAGTACGCACGGCTCACTCTCTGCCTGCAGTGAACCCCAGCCCTGGGGAATCTGGTCCCCTCCATCTGCATCCTCTTCGCTTCCTCCCACACGCAGGCTTCCCATGTAGGCTGTGCACCCCGGGAGAGCTGGTGAAGCTCCTCACCGCAGTCATCTTCAACTGCTCCGCCCAGCACGCCGCCGTCAACAGCGGGCAGGTGAGGCTGCGGAGGGCGGGCCTGGGGGGCACTGGGTCACGCGACATTAGGCCCAGCAATGGACATGAGGCCAGAGTTCGGGTTGAGAGCATGGGAGGGTCGGAGCTGTGATGGGTTTATGAATAGGGCTGGGCACTGGGGCTGGATGATGACTGGAGTGGAGCTGGGTCCAAGCTTGTAATGGTGACTCGAGTTGGGTTGTGGAGGGAGTGGAACTTAGGGGCTCCTGTCTCGGATGGGTCGCGGCCAAGTGGAGTAGCAGCCTGCTCTGTGTGTGGGGCCAATGCAAGACCCGTTTCTCGGGTGACCTCCTCCCTCCTAGGTGACTCACTCCACCCAGTCCTGGAACATTGGGCGGGGAGTGACAAGGGGTGACCCAGGCTCCTGCCACCCTTCTGGAACTTTCAACCTTATACCCCTCCCTCTCTTCCCTCTCCATGACCCCCTTATTTCCCAACTGCAAAATCTGGGGTGGCATGTGCAGGAACAGGGATGTTGAGGAGGGAGAGGGTCCTCTTCCTCTGGCCAACCAACTCCACTGGGGTGGGGTCTCCACAGCATGACTTTGGGGCCTGGATGCCCAATGCCCCATAATCCATGAGGCAGCCCCCACCGCAGACCAAGGGGACTACCACCCTGAAAAGTTACCTAGACACCCTCCCGGAAGTGAACACCACCTGTAACAACATTCTCCTCTTCTGGTTGGTCAGCCAAGAGCCCAAGGATCAGGTGTGTGTGTGGGTGTCTAGGGGTGGGGGGAGTTTGCAGGGCCTGGGCAGTGGAGGTGGTGGCAGCTCTCCCAGGGAGTTTGGGAGCCGATAGCTGGCATTTATGCCCACTGCTGAGCTGCCTTGGGTTCTTCAGTTTCTTCAGGAAATGACAGTTGGTCCCCAAAGACATACACTGAAGCAAATACCAGTTTAGTGGCCGGGGCACAACTTCCATCTAATTCACCAGTTTACCAATCTATCCACCTATCCGTCCATCTGTCTATCCAACCACTTACTCGTCCGTCAACCACTCATCCATTCACCCAGATATCCAGCGCACATCTGCTGGATCCCTCCCATGTGTCAACGCAGTGCTGGGCGCCAGGCTCATAAAGCTGGGTGAGAACGTCCTGCCTTCAAGAATCCTGTGGCCAGGTTGAGGAGACACACAGGAAAATGGAAAAGCGCACCACCGTCTTGTAGGAATTATTCATGAACTCCTCCATTCAATCAGGACTTCCTGAGAACCTGCAATGTGCCAGACACTGGTGGGCAGTTATGAACCTTGATGTCATAAGCTTACAGTCTAGTGACAGAGGTGAGACTGGGGCCCCATGGAACCCGACCAAGTCTGGGTGAACCTGGGACAGCTTCTTGGAGGAAGTGAGATCTCAGATGAAACCTCTGGGACAGGGAGGGGTTTGGCAGACAAAAGAGGGGCAGGGTTAGTTTCTAGGCAGAGGGAAGGACTCTACCAAGTGAAGCCAAGTGAAGGTGAGAGTCTGTCGGTGGGTTTGCAGGAGCATAAACGGCTGAGTGTGGGTGCGGTATTTGTTCACAGGACAGAGGGGAACCATTGAAGAGTTTAAGCCTGGGGGTGACGTGGCTAAATTTGTGTTTTAGCGAGGGTGCTTCTGTGGCTGTGCGGATGGATAGGAGCGGCAATTCTGGAGGCAGGAAGGACGGCAAGGAGGCTGTGAGTTAGGCTGGGCCAGGGGAGCAGCCCTTTAATCACCAATTACTATCACCTCCATTTACACACCGCGTCACCAGTCATGTCTCTGCCCTCCAGGTCGTGTCCCCAAGCTTTCTGACATTACGTGATATCCTCATCTCTCCCGCTTGACTCCATTTGGCACAGAGGGTTTATCTCTCTAACAAGTTTTAACTTAGCATCTCATGCCCGGGAATGCAGGAACTCGTCCCTGGAGGCTGCTTCTCTCTGGTCCCACCTCCCAAGGATCTGGAGACACCCATTTCTGTCATTATAAAGGAAAAGCTCTCTCTGCTTTTTGTCTACTCACAGAACACTCTGTGGGTACTCTCGATACTCTCAACTCGATTCTTCCAGCCAGAAAATGTGTGTGAGTGGTTCCCACCACCCCAAGCAGTTCTCCGAAACCAGGTGGGTGTCCCATGACTTAACTCGGTTCTGACACTGTCCACCTGGAGATAGTGTCTCCCACAGGTCAAGGGCTCAGTCCCACAAGACTGCTCCTCCACTCCACCCGCCTCACCCCCTTCAGGTGCCAATCGCAAGTCCAGCGTGTCATCTGAGCTTCTGACCAACCAGCTATAAGAGGTTTCTATGACCCCCCTCCTCAGTTTTGATCATTTGCCAGAACAGCTCACAGAAAGAACTCAAGCCAACAGTTTACTGACTAGATGACCGGCTTATGCTAAAAGGATACAACTCAGGAACAGCCCGATGGAGGAGCTCCACAGAGCGTGGTGCTGGGGAAGGGGCGCGGAGCTCCCCTGCCCTCTCTGGGTCCCACCCTCCACGTGTGCAGCAACCTGAAAGCTCTCCAAACTTGTACGTGAGGGATTTTTATGGAGGCAGCCTTACCTAGGCATGATTGATTAAATTATTGGCCATTGGGGATTCATTCAACCTTCAGTCCCTCTCCTCTCCCCTGAGGCTGCAGGGGTGAAACAAAGTTCTCACCCTCTAATCACAAGGTTGATTCTCCCGGCAACCGGCCACCCCAGGGGCTTTCCAGAAGTCACCTCATTAACATAAGCTCCGGTGGGGTTGAAAAGGGCTTATTATGAATAACAAAAGACACCTTTAACATTCCATCACTTAATGAAATTATAAGGGTTTTAAGAGCTCCGTGCTAGGCACAGGAAGAAGACCAAACATACATTTCTTATTATAAATCACAATGTCACAGTACAGAGAGAAGAGTATACAAGACGATGAGAGTGGAGAGTTCCCTTTCTCATAAGCCAGTGGGAAGTTCAACCCAGAAAGTTCTAACAACAACAACAATAATAATAGCACCTATCACTTTCTGAGGATCTACCATGCCTCCGTCATTAAATCAGGTATCTTGTGTACACTATTTCAAAATACAAAATAAATAAGTAGCTATATTTAAAATGCTTAAGACAGTGACTGGCATATAAGCGTTCCATAAATGGCAGTTCCATTTTACAGGGGAGAAAACTGAGATTCAAAGGCACCAAGCAGGTTGTCCAAGGTCACAGCTAGTAAGTAGGCTTTGAACCCAGTCTATCATATTTCTGTGTTCTGCTTTATCAGTAGTGACACTATAGTTTTGGAAATTAGATGTCAATCTGGTAAGTAAGACATAAAGCTGATTCTTTGAAAAGACCGATAAAATAAAGAAACCAGAAACAATTCAAATCAAGAAAAAAAAACAACCCATAAATGTACAACATCAGGAATGTAAAAGGCATATAGCCACATATTCGAGAAGACTGAAAAAAATTTTTAAAAAATTAAAAAGGAGAAGAAAATACTTAGTTTTATGCAAATAAATTTGGAAACCTAAATGAAATAAGTGATTTTTTTAAGAAAACCTAAAAAACAAAAAAAAACAGAAGAGGTGAAAAACATACATAAATGAAAAAGGTTGTAAAAGATCTGATCCCTCTCCTTGTAAATGGACATTCTATTAAACCTTCAAAGAACAAATAATTCCTAAATCATTCAAACTGCTTGAAAGTGTAGAATAAAGTAGAAGCTTCCCAAATCATTTTACTGGGAACCCTGATACCAGCACCTGGCAAAGGCAGTGCTCTTGAGAAGTGAGTCTCAGGTAGAGGGTTCTAGTCCCAGATCCACATTTCCCACCTATGTGACCTTGGATATGTAATCGGGCTCTCTAAGCCTCAGTTTCTTTATCTGTAAAGTGGGAATGATAAGAGTACCTGTCTTATAGAATTGTTGTGCCGTTGTGATGGTCCATGTAAAGCCCTTGCAACATCACCTGTAATTAAGAAAATAAAATTACAAACTCATTCCACTTAGCTACAACAATCTTAAAAATATATCAGTAGTCCGTGAAGGCCAACAGTAAATAGTAAAACAATAACACATCATGATGAAATCTAGTTTAATTTAGGAATGAAAGGTTGGTTCAACCTTATGCAACCTAACAATACACTTCCTTACATCAATAAAGAAACACCATATAATCATCTCAATATATGCTGAAAAAACGTTTCATAAATGAGAACAGCCATTACTAATAAAAACTCAGTATAAGATGAAACTCCCGGGACTTCCCTGGTGGTCCAGTGGTTAGGACTTTGCCTTCCACTGCAGGGGGTGTGGGTTCGATCCCTGGTAGGGTAGCTGGGATCCCACATGCCTCGCCGCCAAAAAAAAAACCCAAAACCGTAAAGTAGAAGCAATATTGTACCAAATTCAATGGAGACTTTGAAAATGGTCCATATCCAAAAAAAAAAAATCTTAAAAAAGATGAAACTCCCTAATGGAGTTTTGATAAAATATATTTCAGAAAACATTGTCCTCATGGTGAAACAATAGAGGTCGCTAAAGTCAGGGACAAGAAAACAAGGCTGTGATTTAACAGTGTTTTGGGAGGCTTCACTGGCGCAATAAAACAAGACAAAGAATATTTTAAACAACAGGATTGTTGGCAACAGTTGTATTGTATGAGCAGTGTGTGCTGGTTCGGAGACTGGCCCCAGGAACCGTGATGGCGAACTGGTTGTGCATTGCGGTCAAGCCCAGAGGGGCAGTTCTGCTCCGCCACAGGATGGCACTGACTGAAGTTCACTGCGCTGTTTCTTGACTGTGATTGGCTACGCTGTAAAGCACGAGTGTATGGTGATGCTGATTATGCTGGCAACTGGGAGGTGCCTCAGACCTGGTTGTCTTCAGGGGTTTACATCTGTGAAACTGTGAGGTAACAGATGTATCCTTGGGCATAATTGCTCGGGCGTGTTTACGTTTGATTTCAGGTGTGTTCTGAATGTGGTTGTATTTAGTTCATAGAGCAGTGGCCCAGGCACAGGAAGGGACCTTTTTAGGGACCCGTGGGCTGCGGGTGTCCAGGCTGCTCTGCGCAGGTCGCTGGAGTGGTGGTTTGGAGGTTTGAAGGGTTTGCGTTTACAGTAGCCGTGGCTGGGTCACGCCCCCCTTTAGAAGCCACTTTGACTGTATTTGCTGGCAAATGTGGTCCTTCATTATTCTCCATCCCGTCCTGAACATCACCCTGACCCCGCACCTGAATTTTCTCCCAGCGGCCCCTGGACACCTACCCGGACGAGCACTTCACCGAGGAAAGGCCACTCCGGAGCACCGCCATCTTCCAGAGCCGCTTGGCTCAGATCTCGCGAGACATCCGGAGCGGAGCGGGGGCCTGGAGTTGCCCTATACTACCTGGACCCTCCCCTCATCGAGAACAGCGTCTCCATTTAACCCCTTCCTCCTACCACCCGGAAAGCCCAAGCGTGAGGAGGCCCAGTTTCTCAGGGTCCTCAAGGCTCTTCCGTCTTCCCTGTTCTCGGTCAGCGTGAACTTTCTCTGCACCTTTTCCACCCACGGTGGCTCTAGCATCACATGAACTGGGCCCTGAGCTGCCAGTACAGCGGTGTCCAGGGTGAGAAACCGCTGGCTAAAGTCAAATGCACAACAGGCCCTTCAAAAGGAAGGAACCCCAAAACCCCTTGCCCTACTTTGGGCAGGCTCCTGTGAAAGCCTAGCCTACCCCCGCCTTCTGTGAAAACTCTTCCTCCTCCCATTGGGCCCAGGTTGGGACTCTGAGGGCGCCTTCCCAGTCCTCCCCATTCCAAAACTCCTTCTCCTACTTTGCCTCTTTGTTTCCACTTTCCTCCCATCCTAGGACCAACCCAATGCAACTTCCTTCTTTGGAAGAGCCTGGAAACTGGACAAGGAAGGATGTGTGCCCTGGATCTGTCATGTGGTCCACTTTGACCCCAGCATCTTTAGGGAGAGGGTTACAATTAGAGCCCAGCTTACCTGTACCTCTAGCTGTAGTTCTCAGGGCCAGGCTCCCTGGCTTGTGTGTATGTGCGTGTGTGTGTGTGTGTGGAGTCTCTCCCCAGCTCTTTCCTATACCCACTATCATTCCCCACCATTTTTGTCCTTGAGCCCAGTAAATTCAATAAAAATCAATATACTTGGCTCCCATTTCATTTTTGTTTTTGTTCCTGTGTGCATGTAGGTGGGTGGGGAACCAGGGGATTAGAGAAAGAAAGAGCAGCAATGAGTCCCTGGATCACCTGCTCTGGAGACAGGAAGCCTCCCAGCTCAACCCACCACCTAGCCAGATCCTACGTTCCTTCACCTCCCAGAGTGTGTTATCCATCAGAAGGTGAAGGGATATCCAGACTCAAGGAGCCGATACAAAAAAGTGGGTATTTTGCAAAGCCTGAGAATCCAGCTTCTGGGTGTGGGAGTTGTTAGCATTGCCACTGAGATCTGGTTCCTCTTCTGGACACATGGAGGATTCAACCTCTGGCTCTCTTGTGCATGGGTGGAGTCATGGATGAGTTTTGGCCAAAAAGCTATGAGCAGAAGTGATGTGGTCATCTCCAGGCTGGAGCATTTAACTGCTGGCATGAGCTCACCAGAGTTCTCTGCTCTCTGCCTCTCTGTTCTAGAAGCATGTGATGAGATGTTGCTTCCATCAGCTTCTGTCTCTGAGGGACTAGAGCAGAGCCCTGTGATGACCTGAGCTGGGCATGGAGCTGAGTGAGAAATGAACTTTTGCTGGGTTAAGCCATTGAGATTTTGAGATTATTTGTTGTTGCAGCATAATCTAACCCACCCTGACTGAAACAGATGGTAATCTGGGGGGTCTAATGTTCTCCCTTCCAGCCCTGTAGCCCTTAAAAATTGAGATTTGTGCAGCCCTCAAGCCAGTCATCCACATCTTTCTCCACAGCCACCCAACCTTCCCATTTTCCTGCTTCCCTAGACTTCAGATCTAGCCCCCCTTACCTCTTCTGCCTCCTGAGTCAAATTTTGTACCCGACCAAACCCTGGTCACAGTGTCTTTGGGGAGTGGACGTGGGGCAGACTTTGGCTCTGCCAAAGATCGGATTTTCACTTCCTGAACATGTGATACTGGGAGAATAGGATTCCCATGGCATTGTGCATGAAGAGGCGTGTTCGGGGATGTCTCACCTGCAGATTCCAACCTAAGAATTTAGCCAAAATCACCAGTTTCTGCTCGCCTTTGAACAAAATCAAGGAATAAGACATACCCAATGGCGCCCCCTTGTGGCTATAATAACTATAGCAGAGGCTGGATGTGCCATCCCCTTAAACCTGGGCTTTGACTTAGAACAGCAGGACCGGGATACGCTGGTAGGATGTCAGGGCACAGTCAGGCACCTTGTTTTTCCAAGAGGACGGACACTCCTTTGCCTGCACCAAAGTTAGCATTAGAAGATATGCCTCGTCTGCAAATGTCCCAGAGCCAGAGAGGGTGGAACCAGGGGGGATCATTGGAATCTGTTTCCCCAGAAAGCCAGCTTGGAGGGAGATTTACTGGGGAGACACACCTGGCCACACGTAGGATCCTACGTGGGCTCTGGAAGCCTCTGGGGACAGGATGTGGGGAGGGGGGCCATGTAAAGCTCCAGCCTTGTCAGACAGGTGGCGTCCCTCAGCTTGCACCCTGGACCCCCTCTGTGCTTTTCCGTAAGTCTGGAGGGCAGCTGGTATGGTGTAAAGAGAAGATACCAGCCTTCTTTCCGAGTCCCTCAGCCTCAGTGGCCCAGATTTTTCAGATAAATGGGAGGAACGTGAAGACCGGGAAAGTCCCTTCCAGCACTGACGTTCTGGGGTCTGCTTGCCTCATGGCTCCTGTCTCCCTAGACAGTATGTGGAGGACGCGGCTGTCAATTCCCCTGGCATGACCCCTACTTCAACTGGCTTATGGGGGCAGACAAAAAACACATAAACAAATACATCCTTTCAGATGGTTGCAAGTGCAGTCAGGAGATGAAACCAGGTGGTGTGTTAGCATGACCTGGGTGGGGGGGAGCATTAGATGTGGTGATCAGGGAAGGTCACTCTGAGGAGGTGACAGCTGAGTTGAGACTGGGGGGAAATGTGTTACAAACAAGGACAGGGCAAGTGCAAGGGCCCTGAAGGGTGTGTGTTCAAGGCCCGAGTGGCTGCAATAGGTGACCCAGGGGTGGACGGAAGCTGGGTCATGCACGATCCTATAGTCCACAGTTGAGTCCTTGGATTTGATTCTAAGGGAAACACGGTTTTAAGCTCTGGCTTACAGTAGGGGAGTGACCCAATCTGATTGTTTTCCCTCTGTCTTGGGGGGCGGGGGGCTCCAGGGGTTGCTCCCCTGCCTTGCAGAGCTCTGGGTGGGGCAAGGTGGGGGTGGGGTGGGTGCCCCAGCAGTGAGGGCTCAGCTTCCTGTGTGGGTGGCTCATTGTGAGCCAACCCAGCGAGCTCACATCCTTCCCTGGGGCCTCTCCTGCTCTCCGGGTCCACCCCTGGTCAAGGAGAACCAGTTCTTCAGCCCAATGAGCACCTACCCAGAGTCACGCATCCACATTTTGGTTGTAACTGGGGAGCCCTCCATCTACATCCTCATGCCTAATCCCATCCATGTCCCCGGCCACACCGACGTCCCCACCATCCCCATCTCCATCTGTTTCCCTTGGGAACCTAATTTCCACTCCAGACTTGAGCCCTGATCAAACCTGGAGCCACCACTCCTGCTTTTTTTGGGACAGAGGGGTTGGCTGGGGGACACCTATTGAGAATGGATTGTGATTTGGAAAATGGCGCCCAAACTCTTCTACACCATCAGCTCCCTCCCCTGTTTCTTCCGAATCCCCTCCCACAATCCCCTCCAGGCTGACTGTGTGCCCCTGCCTCCTTCCCACCCCCACAGAGTGATGCTACTGCTGGATTAGAAGGTTAAGGCTGGGCCTCTCACCCCTGCTCCTCCAGGACCCAGCATCCCAGAGGGGCCTGGAGGTGCAGTTTCCCAAACCTCTGAGCCTCAATTCCCCCCTCCACTGGCCCTGCTCCTTACAGAGCCTTAGCAGCCCCCTGGGGGCACAGTCTCAAGAGAAGGGGAGTGGCTAGAAGGCAGGAGGCTGGGTAAATTTTCATCTTAAGATGCAAATTTGAATCATCAAATTCCTCGCATCACACAAGGGTCATCAGGGTGGCTGAGCAGAGCCCAGCAGGGCAGGCCTGACCGGCCTGACAGCCCGTGAGAGTACTGTGACCAGGCAAATGAGACAGCTCTGCCAGTCACAGAGCATGCGCATGACCTTCATCCCCAACCTCTTCTCTGTCCTGCCTCCATCCCCTTAAGGCATTCCCCGCCCTCACGTCACCTCCTACCCCTCATCTCATCCTTACTGAATATTCATCCTAATTCCAATCCCATCATTGATTCAGTTCCCAACCCTGATCTTGTCCTCATCACTAACCCGTGTTTCAAGAATCTCCCAGTTACCAGGTACTGTGCCTGGAGGTGGGGAGAAAACCAAACCAAATTACAGACAGTCTAATCTAGTGGAAAAGAAAGATATCCATCAAAGATGTTAACTACAGTGCTCTGGGAGCCATTAAGAGTTAAACCTGGTCTTTCTTGATGAAGCAATTATCAAGCTAAGATCTGAAGGAAGAGGAAACATTAACCAGGTCTAAGAGGTGGAGAGGCAACAGTATGTGCAAAGGCCCTGTGGTTGGAAGGAGTCGACCACACTTTATACCTTTACTCAAAAGTCCCCTTCTAAAGAGCTCTTGCCTGGCTACTCTATATCTATATTTGCTCCCCTATACTTTATACAGTAAGTCCCCTACATACTAATGAGTTGTGTTCTGAGAGCACGTTCATAAGTCCAATTTGTTCCTAATTTCAGCAAATTTAGCCTAGGTACCCAACTAACACAACTGGCTGTACAGTACTGTACTGTAATAGGTTTATAATATTTTTCACACAAATAATACATAAACAAACAAAACAAAACAAACAAACAAAAAATAAAGAAAGCATTTTTAATCTTACAGGATAGTACCTTGAAAAGTACAGGAGTACAGGACAACAGCTGGCACTTCTCAGCAGTACCAGCTACATCACCGCTGCTTCTATTCTTGCTTCCAGACATCCTGGGCTTGAAATAAAGATACTGCACTACTATACTCTATACAGCGCTGTACAGTAAAGTACACAAAAGCACAACCACTTGCAGAGGATGCAGGGACATGACAATATATACCAGACACGGGAACTAACTTAGGTGATTGGATATGCGAAAGCATGTTCGCATCTTTAAAAGTTGGCTACTTGAAGGTTCGTGTGTAGGGGACTTACTGTATTATCCTTCCCTGCTTTATAGCTTCTCTTCAGCACTTATCACTCTTTAATGTAGTATTTATTTTTGAAATTAAAAATTTATTTATTTATTTATTTTTGGCTGTGCTCAGTCTTCTTTGC